ATGAATGGGAGATAGCTTAATGTTTGAAGTTGGTCAAAGTGATAATGGCAACTTGGTCCAATGCTAAGTGGCCAAATGATTACTTGTCTATCTTGGACACTTACAAACAGTCTCCAGGACTTGGCCAACCTAAGATGAAGGAAAAACAGAACAATAACATCCCATGAGAAGTTCTTGGGAATGGCATTATGATGTTCAACATTGACGAAGTAGCACAATGATGCCTTAGGCTAGCCAATATCGGTGGTTTTCTTCGAAATGACAACAGAAAGGTTAAAATGTTCTTTTCTAAGAGCATTGGAATGGTTGATTCTAACCTTGTTGAAATTAGAGCTATAAGGGAAGCCTTTGCCATAGTTGTAACTTCTAAATGGAAAAAGAACTCTGGACTCATGATTGAAAGCAACTCAAGCAACGCTATCAAATGGACAAAAGCATCGAACTTAGCCTCTTGAGGACTTAGGAAGTGGCTGTTGCAGATTGAGAGGTTTAAAGAGGTTATTGGTCATTGAGACATCAAGCATACCAAAGAAAAACTAACCAAAGAATGGACACCTTGGCCAAGGATGAAGTGTATCTGTCTTATAATGTTCTACAAGTTTTTAAGTAAGTTGCTCGCCTTTCCTTTTCACCTTAGAATCTCTTGAAATTGTTTTTTGAGTTGTAGTGAATGGTCTAGGCTCATTGATTGCTTGATTGGTATTGGTTTTTTTTTTGCTTTGATCTCAGATATGCTCTAACTTGTTTGGTTATGTTGATTTTATTGGTTAATTTGCAAGTGGATGTGATTCGCTGAAACTCCTATTTTTGTCTTAAATGATGGATGTTTATTTTGTTTTTTAGTGCTTTTTTTGTAAGAAGGGTTTCTTATATAGCCATGTTAAAGATTTTTTGCTTTCTGCCATATAAGTTTATGTTTAAGTGTAGAATGTGTAGGTGCACATGCAATGGCTTTGTTCTTTTTACTTTTGTTTTTTGAGGCACCCTTGCTTTGGCTCTTTATGGTGTATTAGGGAAGTATGCTCTTTTATTGCCTTGTGCATACCTACCAGTACCCCCTCTTGAAGTTTTGGTATGTGTCACCCTACTAGTGGGAATCTTTTCATTCCTTCAGGTTTAATGAAAGTTGCTCTTTAATTTTCAAAAAAAAAAAAAGTCAAAAAGTTCAAAAATCCTTAAATGAATAGAGTTTAAGTGGCAATACATCATGCAAGAATAGCTAAGTGTGTTTCTTGTACATGCTGCTATATTTCTAAAATAACTCTCATTACGGAAGTTCAATTGATGAGATTCTTGAACCATTGGAAATTTAAGAGACAAAGCTACAACTTTTATGTTTATCACTTTTTTCAGTTCAAATCAGATCGAGCTCAAAATCACATTGGAAAAGGCTGAACTGCTGTCATTTCAACACTAGACAACATGAAAACTTGAAAATATATAGCCATAGTCGACCCCTTAAAGTCTATAGTTGATTCTAAGGAAGTAAGCACGTGAAATCCAAGCTTTTATGAAGCCATAATCGACCCTAAGCGAGTGGTAGTCGACAACACCAAGCCAGATCTAACAGTTACAAGCTTTTTGGAAGAGGATCAACCAAAGAACTTCCATATTTGACTACAAGTGACCGTTTGACACAAAATTCAAAAGAAAAACGGCTAGTTTCTTGCTCCAATCACCTCCAATGGCTCCAAGACTCTTTCAACTATAAAAAAGACCATTGGAAAGTATTTCAAGTTGAAGAAGAAGAAAAGAAAAAGGCCAAACTCTTGAGGATCAAAATACTGAAAGTAAATGAGAAAAATCAAGCATTTTTAAGCTAAAATTTCTTTGTGCTTTCACTTCTATCTTTACATCCTATCTTTTTACCCAATATTAGGAATTCTTCCTCCACTATACTAAACTAGTAAAATCTACCTTTTAGAGGCATTATTGCTATTCTTGTAAAGGTTCTAACTTAGCTTTAAAAAGTTAGTGTATGGGTTTGTAGTGATCCTTTTAAAAACCATGAGTTTGTGGTGAACTCATTAAAATCGTGGGTTTGTGGTAAACTTGTTAAAACCATGGGTTTATGGTGAGCTCATTGAAAACCATGAGTGTATTTGTTAAACCCATTAAAAACCATGAGTTATTACTTGATCTGGTGAAAAGTCGTTGTGAGGGTTACCGTTTCATCTCATTAAAAAGCAAGAATCTTTTTTAGGATCCATTTGTTTTATAGTAAAATATTTTTTGGGAAACATTTTCAGACCCATGATTGTTTGGCAAACGAAAAATTAATTCCAGATATAAAACATTTTACAAGTTCATAAAATTAACCACGAAAAATGTCTTATGCCCTTAAAAGGCGAAAGACATTTTTCAAAGAATAACAAAAATACTTTTATACTAAGTTCATGAGTATAAGTTTGATTAATATTAATATTTAATTTAAAATATTAAAAAAATAAAAAATATTAATATTTAACTTTAAAATAAATAATTTAAAATATTAATATTTAAATTATACAACACTATTAAAATTTTAAAAATATTATTTTAATGAAACCATTCAATAAAATTAAATTTTTTATTTATAAATGGAATAAATCTTACTAATAATTATAATAAAAAATATTTCAATGATCATCATTTGATGAATACACATTTATAATTGGTTTAAATCTTACTAATAATTATAATAAAAAATATTTCAATAATTGTTATTTAATGAATACATATTTATAAATATATGTTTTGGATATCTTACACAATTGATGACTATTTATAGTTTATAATTACAAATAAAAAAGTGATAAGTTGGTAAATTTTTTGAAAATTAGAGTTTATTTTCAGTACAAATTTGTGGTTAAATGCTTTGAAAAATATCATTATTGATTTTATCCATTTTCATTTTCATTCTTAATTTTGATCCCAAATTAATGAAAATCAAAGATCAATATTGTTTTGTACTCAACTTCTATTTATTATTTTAACACCTAAACAACCCCACCATGATAGAAAATATTTTTCATAAAATGATCCAAAGAATAGAAAATATTTTTGACAGTTTATCCAAACAACACAAAACATTAAATTTTCTTGTAAAACATTTTACGCGAAAAAAATTTTCCTCCAGCAAGTCATTTTTCAATTACCAAATGAAACTTTAGTGAATTGAAAATTCCTTAGTGAACCAAAGGAGTGGATGTAGGCACTTGAAAAGCCAAATCACTATAAATCTTTGTGTCTTGATTTACTTTACGTTTTATGATTTATTGTTGAAACTCTATTTTAGAAAAATTATTTGCTTTGATTTTAACACAAGTAGAAAATCCATTTTGAAGAAGTTTTGATTTTGCCCTAGTGTCTTCATTTTATCATTGTTTAGTTTTGTTATATTTTATTTCAAGAGAACCCATTTCATAAGTACTTGTAGTTTGATTTATACTATTCACATCTTGGTTGGTTCTTTGCTAAATCTTTTTCAACCATCACAAATTGTCCATTCTTTGTTGAAAAGATGTCTTGAAATGTTTTTCTCAAAGTTGCCTTTATTTGATTTACATTTGAAGAATGTTTAAGCATTTCAAAGTAATCATTGGTTTGTATTTGATTAAATAGCTTTGATTAAAACTTGCATAAACATCAAGGTTTTTGTTAAATTTTGTCTTACAAGTTTTCAAAATGAGTTCCCTAACCTAGGATTGATTTTTGAGTTTTTATAGTCAATCCAGATTTTGTTTGAAAGACATTGGAGTTGGTCTCTGAAATTAACCACAACCATAGTCAACTATAGTTTCTTTATATTCGATTATAACGGATTGTTTTAACATTTTTTAATTTTTTTTAAATCCAATTCACTCTCTCTTAGATGTTTTCATTGGACTAACTTTTTTAACAAAATAGACAGGAAATTTGAACTTTTAATTTCACTTTCTTATATAATATATCTTTTTATGTAATGAAATTTTAAAAAGTGTAACTATTTAAACTTATGGTTACACTTTTTTTTTTTCATATTTAATAATAATATAAAAACTGAAAATTTTGCTTATATATGCAATCTTTAATAATTATATTTTATTCATAATATTATTAAAAAAATCTATATAGTGCAGTTAAATATATATAAAATATTATAAAATGTATAAAAAAAGTGTATAGCTAATTGACATATTTAAGTACATCAATATATTTTTTGATTTATTAATTTTTTTGGGATACATATGAGAAATCTGTTTAGTCAATGCTTTATTTTTAGAAAATTGAATTTTTTAAACTATTCCAAACTTTAAAGTTATAAATGTCAATTAAATTAGAAAGTTATGATTATTATCCTCTTTTAACACCTACCGACACTTAAAAACAATAACAAAATATTTTGATATTCATTTATAATTTCACGAAAAGTAAAATTCTTAGCAGATTCATAAACAATAAATTATATCAAAACAAGTTTGTTTTTTTCTTTCTCTTCCTCGACTCATTCACCTTATATTTTTCCTATTTTTCTTGTATTTTTAAAGTGCTCACACTTTTCCTTTTTGTCATCAATTTCCTCTTTTCCATAAAAAAATTGATTTGTACCCACAAAAAAAAATACTCGGTAACAATTATTTATACACAAAAAATTTCTTGTTAATGAGTACCTCTTTTGTGCCTTATTTGAATGCCCACTAATTACCTTCGATCAAACAATATCAATTCTGACTAAGTTGATTTATGATTTATTATAACATCATAAGTAGTTAAAAGCAATTTTAAAAATTCTAAGCTCAATCATTCAAATTTCTTACTTTAGAAATTTTAATTTCAAATAATATAGCAAAAAATTAGGATATAAATTGATTAAGTTTGATTAAAAACTATTATTAATTATTTTCTTTAAAAAATACCCAAAGATGAAGGCTTTA